TCCAGTCTGGGTGACAGAGTGAGTCTCCAACAAAAAAAAAAAAAAAAAAAAATTATGCAAATCACAAGACTTACTTATGATTACATTGGTACTACACAGTTCAAAGAAAGAGAGTAAATAGGGATTACCTCACTGGGCTTGTCTGCAGGGAAGTCAAGGATCCCTGAAGCTACTTACTGGGAACACAGAGAAGCCAAGGGGTCTCTCAGGAATGTGCAGGAACTCTCCAATCCCCACCATGCCCTTCTCTAGGGGCTGTGGCAACATGGACGAACCTTAGTGGGTCCCTGTATCATTATGGACCCATTTTACCTTAATTAGCGCCTTAAAGGCTCCATCTCCAAGGGTCGGCACACTGAGGATAGGGCAGCACATCCCTTTGGAGGGGGCCACCTTGCGACCCGCAACGCTCCCCAGAGAGAGCCTGGTCTGGGACATAAGGACCACGGGGTCAGGTCGGCTGAGCACGTGGCAGGGGGACGGGCCCAGCCTGACTGGCGTGAGTCCCCTCCGAGTTGTCTCCAGGGTTGGCATCCGAGGAGCCAGCCTGCCCCCAGGCCCCGGCCCCGGGTGGGAGCCCAGGAGGCCCATGGGTGCCCGGAGGCGGGGCCTGAGGCCACCTCCCACCTCCTGCCCTCTCCACAGCCTGCTGAGGAGTTTCACTCTGGTGACCCAGCACCCCGAGGTGACTTACCCGACCCAAAACGCAGTCTGGTCCAAGTTTCAAATCATCTTCTTCACCATCTCTGGCCTTGTCCATTACGCGCCAGTGTTCAGAGACTACGTCTTCCGGAGCATGGAGGAGTTCTGGGAGGACAACGTGCTCTTCATGGAGATCAGAGCCATGCTGCAGCCGGTGAGCCCAGCTGGCCTCCCTGCCGTGCACTCCCCTGCCTCCCCTCCCCTTCCCCTCCTCTGCTCTGGTCTCCCCCACCCTACCCTTGCTCTCCCCTCCCCCCTCTTTGCCTTCCAGCCTGAGGGACGTAGTGAGACTCCAACTCAAAAAATAAAAAAAATATTTATTCAGTGTACAAACGCCTTGGGGATTGACCTTCCAGCTCACGGGACAGCCCACAGGGTGGCAGTATTCCGGCTTTGATAGCGTGTGCTGTCTTTTTTTTTTTTGAGT